CTATCTATGTTGTTTCAAACACAAAAGTAAATGTGATGTCACATCATCAATCGTGTGGAGCCCAAAGGAACCGGGCAGTCACGCCCAAGGGATCGACAATTAAGGTATCATTATCAGACATGGACAAGTCACCAGAAATCATCCTGCACGCCCTCTGGTGCTAAAACACAATACTGATACAGTGACAACTGGTTTTTTTTTCACATATCGTATTTTGGCTGAGCTGTCTTCGGGAATGAAAAGGATGAAACTGACCGTTGGCCTGAGGCTGACCGCTAGGGACAAGCATCAAAGGGAAATAAAGTACTGTATGCGTCACTGATTTGAACGATACGAACCAATTTTGGAGTCACATTTGCTTCTAATACTAATTATAGCAGTTAATTAATTATAAACAAGCAGTAATGTGAATGTAATTAAATTACTTCCGTTTGATCATGTGAAGATGTATTTTCGGAGCACTAAACATTAATGACTACCTTTATTTGATCTTCCGGGTCGTAGTCATAAGTGGTATGAGCGCACATGCTTTTTAAAGTGTTGTCAATATCTGTTGTAGTGATCATGAAAATTGCATACGTATGTATATCCACGTACCACATTACCACGCTAGGGTGACATAGTGCAGTCAATAAATGCTTCAGTCAAGAGTAGGTGTAGAAATTAGATATAAAGTGTAAATGTATAAAGGTGTGATTGGTTGTTTGTCCGAGATGACCACTGAATCTGACCGGTTGATAACCCTCAGACATGTCGAATGTGACCTATCATGTGTACTTCGTCCGACCCAATAAGTGGCCTGATTGCAGAAAATGAAGATATTTAGTCGGACAATATTTAACAATTATCGTCATCATGAATAGGTAGATCTACGGACATATATAATACACTGAATTTGATAGATACGAAATGTGACTGAAGGACTTCGAAAAGTATGGTAGAAACTACGGACTGAGGGAGGAGATTGGGTAGGGTAGGGCGAAGCGGAGGACGTACGGGTGGGTGGGGGAGGGAGGGGGGAGTGACCAATATCTCTTAACACTGTAAAGCTATGATCAACATTACACGAAGAACGTGGTCTTCCTGATATTAATGTCGCTTATTTGAAGATGTTATTCTGGTAGTGAACGAACTACGCCTGAACAATTAGGCCCTAAAATGACTACAAGATAGAAACGACGTGTAAATGTGATCGTTAATGGGCTGCCTTTCTACCCAATAGTTTTGTATCGGTATGTAGTAGTAAATAGATGATCGACCTTCGTACTAGTCGTCCAATGTCACTGACCGTTGCGACTGTTTGTACCATCTATAGTACAGCCATATACTGATTGTCTTGGTTCTAGGGTGATACATGGCGTATATATAATTGTTTTTCCCGAGAGAGATAGGACAGAAATGTAGTTTGACGTCATATCTGCCCCAAAACTCAACTTCAGAAGTTGTATTTGTAATACTAGATGTTTTTGAAGAAATACGGTGAACTAAAAATTAGGTGAATCATACTTTGTCAACAAACCTAATCAGACGATACGATTACATTATATTGTTACTGTGAACAATCGGACATGGGCTTTTTTCTCAGAATATTTGAAACACTGTCATTAGCCTTTCACGATGTGTGACCTTGACGGTATAATTTGACCTATTTACAATATACGCATAGCCACAATTATGCCACCTTGTATTGTGATATCATCAGGATGTACAGTGTAAAAATAAGCTGTGAACCGATGTTTAAAATTACACATGTTTGTGGTGACAGGTAAGCGGGGGACCTGAGACACCGTGGGAACATTTCATCACACTCAGTGTTGTGTGAAGTGATGTGTAACTCAGTTTGTAATGAAACATATGAATCTAAGTCAGTTGTACTTAAAGGTGTGACGTTTTCTCAACTTAGACTTTAATATCTTTGTTAAATAGAGAAAGAGCGAGCTTGCATTTTATTTATTTTTACTAGAAACACTAATACTTCACTTAATAAGTGCTACAGGAATATACTCCAGGCTATTTTCTCCCAAATATACATATTATTTATTCTGAATGGGGCGATTGGAATCTCTATCATGAGTGAAGTATGAACATGCGAATCAGTTCTATTATGCAAGTAAGGACCACTTCAGGTGCATATTGCCTCTGCAAAATTACATCTGAACATGACTGTTCATCAGCTAATAATACATTTGTGTTTTGCCAGGAGTAGATGAAAGCCATCTGAGCCTGATGATTAGCGCTTATAGTAGACAGACACTGATATAAGCATTCAGCTTACTTTCCCATACCAACTGCAACGAGTGTTTTACAACAATATCTAAAATATTTTTCAAACTAATGGTTAACAAAATCGGTGCAGTGGACCGCCAACCAAGTTTTTTTTTATCCGTTGACATCGGAAAATAAATAAATAAATAAAAACAAAAGTTTGATCGGAAAGAACACACACACACAACCACATTAAAATAACCCTGATGCTAATGACCTCACGTCCCACATAATAAAATGCCAAAGTTGCAACTGAACGTGATAGCAAATGACAAATCCTGCTACAATATTACGTATGCACAGTGATGTCCTAGGAGTGACGTGTATCCAGGTGTGTACATATCATTGTAAATGTGAGCCACACACACGTGTCAAGTAAGGTACGAGATGAGGAAAAACGTTTTTCATTCGGTAACATTTAGGTCAACTTCAATATCAGACCAAGACTCTGTGTGTGTGTGTGTGTGTGTGTGTGTGTGTGTGTGTGTGTGTGTGTGTGTGTGTGTGTGTGTGTGTGTGTGTGGGGGGGGGGGGGCTGGCGGGGAGGAGGAGGGGGTGAGAAGTGCAGGGACAGCTTATGAAATACATCCACTTATATTTTACATAAAATAAATAGAAAAAAAACTCCAATGCTCAGCTATAATTGACTACGAGACACTGTTAAATGTAAAATTTTCTCGTAATCTAAAGGGCATTTGATAGCAATAATTGAAGACTTGAATGATCAGTCCTGTGCGTGTGACGAACCGCTAGCCTAGACACTACTTGATGTGTTTGTTTCTGTTTTGTTGTGGTGAGGTGTTAACAGATAAAGATAACATTATAATTATATATAGTGATTACGTGTGTTGTGAAACAGCACCGCTGTGTAACGTATTGACACATCTGAGTCATGATGATGATGGTGGTGGTGGTATGATGACGATGATGATGATGATGATGACGATGATGGTGGTGATGGTGGTGATGATGATAACTGGTAGTGTTGGTGGTTTAAAAAACAGTGTAAAATGCTTTAAGAAAATAGTACTATTATTCTATTTTACAGTTCATTGTTACCTCTACACCATGTCTGTGCTTAAGAGGATATGACAGATCTATCACTTATCGTGACATTCAATCATTTACTTATGTAACACTTATTATAGAAGTCTCTGTACTAGATAATTCAATCATAGAATTAATTCATTTCTCATGTCATGAAATTATAGCATCATATTTGAAAAAACAAACAAACAAACGAGTGCCGAAAAGTCGTTGTTAGTTTTAACTAGTCAAATTATTGGAGCTTGTTCGGAAATACCGTTGACTCAACAACAGGTATATTTCTGTATAGCAAAACACGATACTATCCCACAGTTGATTATAACACGCCATCCTTCCGCTGAATCACACCTGTGATATTTTCTCGTGTGTATACACAGGTGTATTTAAACACATCTACCTTACCTGTTTACTACATTGCATTATATCACAGGTATGTTGTATCCTTCCGATGCTACAGTAGAGCGATGCTGAAGAAGGTGATATCAGGCGTGACGAACCAAACATAACGTTTATAGAGACCTTGTTAATTATCTATAATTTCAAAAACTTAATTTAACAAGTCCAACCAATAAACTGCTAAACAATATGTTTCATAACAGAGGATCATTTGATGTATTTCAGAATTCTGATGGTTGATATTTTTAACACACAAATATTGGCAACTATGTATATTGTAAATCAATAACTGAAGCAACACCTTGCACAATACATCCAGCTTATAAATCATCACACGAAATCCCGAGATTACATATTATTGAGATATTTAGACTATGAATACATAATTACACTATACATTATACTGAGAAGGTTTGATTTATATCAAATTCTCCTAAAAATAAACAGAAACTGGACATAAATCGAATCACGTATAAATAATGACTGATGCCTTTAGATGCAATTAAATGCCATCGGTACGTACTTTATCTTAAATTTGGAGGAAATATACTTATACCCAGACCTACGTATACATATATGGGACAATATAGATTGTCAGATAGTGATTTAACTGTTAAATCATGTTTTTTTTTTTTATAATAACATTACACCAATCCTTACAACCACGGACAACGATTTATTTATTTCAGTGATGTAATGATTAATTAGTATGGTAATGTTTTGCTGTGATAACATATTATGTTTAAATTATGTCAATTATTTTGATACTGATGTATGTAAACTAAGACCCGAGTCAGTCTGTTGAAAAAATGTGTAGAGTCTGCATGCATCTATACTGTGTAGTGTGCGAAATTATAATTTAATTCAAAAGTATGTGCAGACTTTCTCCGCTTAAATTAGTATTTGTCATTCCACGGCCGAGTTCACGGAACTCCTAGTATTTAATCACAGACTTACATGTTGTATATTAACTATGCAAACTCAAATACATGTACAACAATCGAACAGACAATACTAGCCAGTAGCCAGAATATTGATCATCGTCACCGAGAATAGTCTTAACAACCCGAATCAAAACTCACAATAGGCCACAAGGTAGTTACCCGCTTAATGTTCACAGTCATTCGCTAAACAAAGACCAATTTTGACCATTCTTTAAGCATTTTGTACGGTAACGTATTTTCCTACGGGCGGGCACCTGGTAGCCTACTGTTGACTCGTCCTAGCACAGGCAGTCCATTGCTTGTCGGTGACGTCACACCCATACACAACCTCATTTTCAGTCGGAACACATCTGACTGCGCACGTTTCTACCGGTGTTTGAATTCAATTTGGAATAAGTCCGAACAACAAACATGGAATTACTTAAATTTTGTGCAGTATGTGTAATTTTGGCATTACCTCAATTTGGTAAGTAATATTGGTGTTTCACATTCGTATTCTCACGGACCGTACTTCTTATGACCTACCTGTGTATGCACCGTTGTCAAACGAGAACGGACGCCATTAGATAGCGTGGGTAACCACAAGTTTGAATTTAAATAAATTCCCGGTTCAACTTGAATTGTATAATTGATGTAACCACAGAAGTTTTTTGTACCCCATCATGAAATACTTGAACAAGTTGTGTATTTTTAAAGGTTATATAATTCTTTCTAGTTAGGAGCGGTGTAGCTGTACACACGTGTGATACAGGTAATTCCGGGTAGTAGTCATCTGAACGAAAAGCCGGTAAAGATATTTATGCAACGCTTTATGGTTTACAAATGGGTAGACAGCGTGATACGTCCTGAATTCAAGTGACACGCATTTTGTAAGAACGGCATTGAAAATAACTGTCCTTGAATACATGGTCGTTGCTATGATTTGGCGGGCAGTCACATTTATCCATTCTTTTGTACTCTGCATTGTGCTGACATTGAAGCGGGTCTTCAGTAGTTCTTTCTTTGGATTTCTTTTCAATGCATTGACTTGTATGGTAGTTATTGTATAAATATATTAGATAACCGGACCGCAAATTTCTTCTTTTACATAAAACATTCAACAATAATGTGGTGGTCTTGTAATGAAATACTTTTAAAGTGCCGTCAGTACACAATTATCATATTTGTTAATTCATTGTTGTCCATGCATGATTTATTCATTGTTTAATTATGGTCATTTACCATATAAGGAAGTATGAATTAAGTGGGAAATGTGTTGGGGAGGATGATGATTCAGTATGCAGTATCAGGCAGTATACTAATAGATATTGATCACATGTACCAGACAGGAGAGTATTTACACACAGGACAGTATGTGACCTCATTTCAGGAAAAAATCTATCAATGTATGGCATCACTAGTGATTGTATGGACTATTCATTGACGAAAAATCTTACTCTAGTACAGTATGAGTCATTACCTATAATGGGCTGGGTTTTAACTTTCATTTTCTTCTATTTTCTGTCCTTATATGCTGGTGTTAGATTTCCTCTAAATTTCTATTTGAGTACCTACTTTCAAAACTAGCTTTAAAGAATTATTTGAACAAACTTTTTGTTCTTGTTTTTCTGTTTCTTGTAATAATTCTATTTATGAGAAAGAAGAACATGTTAGTCCTGCAGCCATATCTTATTTCAGTTAATACAAGAGAGGAGATCATCTTTGTAAACTAAAGATTACTGCAGTATAATAGGTTCTATGTAGAATTGTCCATACAAAAAAATATTTAACACTCACTGCAAATAGCTTTTAATAGGATAATTTTGTTCCTGCCACAATATGTAAGATTAGTCCATAATCTAGACCAGTCTGACATTGATTTTCAATTTCAATATTTGTAATTTCTTGGCTCAAAACTGACATTGGGTGTATTGAAGTGCCAACTAAAACTTGTCCATGGTTCTTATTGCGAAATAATTCAATAGTTGTATTTGAACTGTTGAATAACACAATTATACAAGATATTTGCGATATAAAAATGATACATCAAAGTTTTGTATTGTAAATCCAAATCATTTTGTCATACAATGTGATCCAGTGTGTACAGAGAAGCACCTGTATGTGTTAATAATTATGCTTACAAGCGTACCCAATATATTCTAACAATAGATTTACAAGTTTCTGAGTTGATTTCCCCGGTAGGCCTATCCTTTCAATTTGACACTCCATGCTCCTGCATTAAACAGTCTTTGTCCTTTATACTAACGGATGTTCCTCCATTATATATGCAGTGTTTTTTTCCCTGGCAATAATGATTACGGTAGATGTCAGAAATTTCGCAATTCAACAGAACATCTTGGCTGCCTATATCTCATTTATTTGTAGGAGACCATTAAGTTACCTGTTGTTTTTCTCTACCTTACCATTAGTTTTTATGTCCAGGTATACGTGAATTACCCGCTGGTAGATGATGTGGGAGAAACCCCTGTAGTGTACTCATTCACAAAAATCTGACTTCAACGTCTCAAATATACTGATTGGTTTTAAAATTTTGTAGAAATTAATTTTTATAATTGTGGTGAACTTTAGTCGTAACCAGTTATAGCAAGTTCTGATGATTAGGAAGAGAGCAGGATTTCAGAGAGTTGACATGCCATGGCTCTCACACTCAATTTTGGGACTGGGGCCCTTAGAATTGGGAAAAATTGTGTCATTTTCCTTAGAATTGGGAAACTTAGGGTCTAAATTGGGAAATAAAGATACTATTTTGCATTGGGAATTCGGCCCCAAATCTGGCAGATCGAGAGCCCTGCATACAATCAGGATTGTATAGTTTTGAGAAATCAGGTTAAAACTGATAAGTGATCATCAGATTTTCAGTGTAGCTAATCAATATTCATAGAAAGTTTATGTATTCTCTGTAGTTGTAATATTTTTACCTTACCTACCTGGAATTAACATAAGAGTGAGTTGGCCTTTGTATCTTTATTGATGTACTAGAGGTATTGATGATCGATTGTGAGAAATTACAAGTGATCGTCTTTTCATAGGAGGTCAAACAGTCAGATAATCAATTATGTCTGATCAGTATCGCTTCACTAATTCTGTATCTCACTTAGGAGTAGAAAAAACAGCTGTTACATAGGTATCCAGCTCTGAAAAGGCTAATGCCAGATTGTTGATAAGCCCAGTGTTTCTGTTGTACTTTGATATAATATGTAATACAGTTCATAATCAATTAAAAATTCTGTTGTCAAGTTCTATTTTATTGCATTCACAGTAAGCTTGCATGTACCACCTACACTGGTTAAAGATTTTGCATTGTACCCCTGGGCTAAGAAGGGATATGGGTATACAGGTGTACTGATGCAGTGTTGATGTACATGTACCACAGGAATGTTGCAGATCACAAATGGCGAACATTTACCACAATTGTTTGTAGCTGTGATGGGATAATGTTACAGGCAGCTTGAAAGACTGTACTGGATATCACCCCTTGTCTGTAGGATTTATAAAATGCTTCACATTAATCAAAAACATATGAAATGATAAAAAGGACTTTGATTGAAGCTGTTAAAGAAAAGCTGCAGAGTTCAAAAGGTTAATTTAATTTGTCCGAACCAGTCACTGATCAGAGAAAGTTAACTAGAGGCTCCAGTAGCAGTCAAAATTACAAGACAGCAGTAAAATAGCTTTATCACTTAAGGTTCCATAACGCTGACCATATTACTCTGGAATATTTTATCGAGTCGGGCCTATTTATCATCAAAATATTGGTGTAGACATGTTTTTGCCAGATGTCAGTCTAGCATCTGAGCAGTGAAGGGGTGTTTTTTTGGTTGTAGTTTGTCAGACATAGACAAATCAGCATAAATGAATCAACAAATCAATGTTTGAAAAAAAATGTGAATTAATCCAAAATTTTCAGTTTAGCACAGTCACCTCAGTCTGATATTTATAATTGAAAGATGAGTAGAAAAAGCTTAAACACACAAAAAAAAACTGCTGGTAAATTTAATTGTACAGTTTATCTATAGACAAATCAATTGGCATTCAGAAACTGGAATGGTCGCTTACGGCTCCTGCACTGTTGGAGTGAAAAAGTCTACCATAAACGTTTTTGTTTCCAACATTTACTAGACAGACAAGGTTATTTCTACAAAAGTAAAAAAACAAGTGTAATGGATTACAACAAGAACAGATGTTTAACTGTCATGTTTCACCTGAGAAAAGTAAGAGACATTTTGTCATTAATGTTTATTGGTACAAGTAGATTATAAAACATAACTATGAGAAATCTAGACAGATTTTACTACTATAAAAAGACATAGAATTCCCATTAAGAATCGAAATATTCTGAAAATATTGGGGAAATTCACAAATATTTTCAAATTATGCAAGGACAAATATCAATCCAACCTTAACATTGTCGTATTCTATTGCTTTAAATCTTCTTAAATATCATATTTTTTAACTATCCCTTTTTGATTTCTGAACAAAGGGCTGTTTGAAACTGCTAAATTTCTGAAAAAAGAACAAAATTCCTCTTTTTTCACAATGGATATCAATCTCTTATTCTCGATAATCCACACAACTGTTGATGTGAGATAATCCAAAACACATCCCCTTTCTTCTACACCCAACTTTCACATACTGCTCTTTTCTCATTCTGCAACGCAGTCAGAAGTTTTATTTCAAAAGCCCGTTAGATACCAATAAACAAATATAAAAACAATCTGTAGATTGTCATATTGCTTATGTGTAAATGGCTACATGTGACAGTGTGTACATGTATCTCATTCCCAACCTTGATGGTAGTTTATCAATGAACATAAACATGTCACATAGAAAAATAAGAGTAATTTGGTATGGAAATATTTTTTTCACATAGTTATAATTATTATTCAGATGAAGAGGAAATCTTGACTTTAATTGTCAGAATTGTTGAAATAAGTCTAATGAAGGTAAAATACAAGACCCAGAATATAGGGTTGATAAAGCATGTAACACTTGTATTTTTGTACTGCACACGTATGGGATGAATCCCTACAGTTAAAATCTGAGAAAGTTTTTACTTTTTGTCCACACTATAAATTGCCTTATAGCTACATAGCAAAAGTTTCTCTTATCAAATAAGTGTAATTGAAGAACCTTGTTTTAAATTAAATCAGTAGTGAATTTGGATATTAGCTAATTGATTACTTGGTTTCTTGGGTTATTGCACAGTGTACTTTTACAAGTACAATTGATTTAGAATCTATGAATATGACTATACGTTGAATCAACATTTGTTTTATATTTGTATATAACTTTTTGTATTGAAATTGAAACAAATGGATTGTGGGGTTTATCTCCCAGTAAATAGCCAGCTAGAGTCATTTTGAGGTGGGTCTCCTGGTAGTAGCCAATGGCTACCTCACTGAACAACATACAGGAGACCCACCACATGCTATCTAAAGCATTGTGGTAAAGTGTTTGTCCATTGAT